GGCCCGCCCGGAGCGCAGCGGTTCCGCCACCTCGACCTCCTCTCGCTGCGGCTTTGCTCCCGGTGCCCCTGGTCTGCTGGGGACCGTCTCCAGCAGATCAGGGACACCGGGAGCAAAGCCGGGGAGGCGAAGGGGCGCTGGTGTATAAGACGAAAGCCTATCTTTTAACTAAAAAATTAGGGGGTCGTCTTATACGCCCACTAGCCTTATACGCCGGAAGATACAGTACTAGAATTTAGATGCCACACTATGAGACTTGGAAAAATTGCTCTTCACACCTACAAGTGTGTGTATTCAATTGTTGTACCTCTAAGTGATTGTACTCATGTTCAAATACAGGGGTAAAATTAATGGCCAGATTAGGCCTTCTTTGAAAATGTAGCTATTAATAGCCAATTTTTTCAGTCCATCTTTATTGGTACCCTATATTTTTGCATCCACAAATTATGGACAAGTAACTGTGGGAAGCCTCTTGATCACTTAAATATCTATATACTTGCATGCTCTGTGTTTAGATGGTCAAGTGCCCTAAACTGCACCTTGAGATTACAGCCATATTATGAAAATTTATTCTTACATTTCCAAAACAACACAGCATTTACTCCCAAAGTTCAAGAATTTATAAGGGGTGTCACATTAGTTAGAGATTGGAAAAGACAAATAGTCAAGACATAGTCCCTGAAAAGAGATGTACCACTTGATAGTACACTTAATCATTAACAAAAAAAAGTTTGTGATTATAATTTATTATTTTTAAAATAAAATAATTTTAATTATTTCTTTTGAGTGCTGGTGTATAATAAGATACTTGTGGTTTGCAGATGTGTTTAAGTTTTTGCAGATGCCTGAACAATCTTTAAAACTTCACCCTTATTTTAAAAAAATTCTAGATATGCCTGATATTTAAATATAGGAATTTTTGCAGTTCATTCTGTTCCATATTAATGTAGAATTATATATTTATGAAATACCAGACTATATTGTGCTGTTATGCACACCATTGTAAACTGAGTAGCATAACTGCAATGACAAGTGAGGACAATTAGCTGTGAGCATAAACTGACTTTTTCTGGATGTATATCCATGATACTAAAAACAAAATTTGGCCCTGCCAATGTTATTCTGTAACATTTGTCACCTCAAGTGAAGAGGAGTCGGATAAGTTTTTCTCTTACAATAAATGCTGGATTATTAAAAGTTATGAGTCCAGTTCTATACTCCTATATTGAATCTTTTGGATCCTACACTAATTCACTAAATGAGAGTAGGATCACGGTATTACTCATGTAAAGCACAGAGGATGAAATCCTGCCTCCAGGGAAGTTTTCTGGAATTTTGTCATTGACTTCAGTGGAGGCAGGATTTTATGCAGTGTAAGCCAGTCCGTTTCCCCAAACATCTCTCAGTCTAAGATATGAGTCAACTCATCAGCATTAAAGCCTTAGCAAACTGTAATAAAGCACATTCTGCATATTTTACAGCTATGTTCAGGAAGGTATTGAAAACGTAAAGATTCGTTCCTACTTTGGTCTCTTTAAAGAATAACCAAGAGGATATAAAATGATTAAACTCTTTGGCTGCGTCTAGACTGGCATGATTTTGCGCAAATACTTTTAACGGAAAAGTTTTTCCGTTAAAAGTATTTGTGCAAGAGAGCGTCTGCACTGGCACGGATGCTTTTGCACAAAAGACATCTTTTGCGCAAAAGCATCCGTACCAGTGTAGACGCTCTCTTGCGCAAGAAAGCTCTGATGGCCATTTTAGCCATCGGGCTTTCTTGCACAAGAAATTAACTTGCCTGTCAAGAATACTTGCGCAAGAATACTTGCACAAGAGGGCTTATCCCTGAGCGGGAGCATCAAAGTATTTGCGCAAGAACCACTGATTTTGTACAGTACAAAGTCAGTGTTCCTGTGCAGATACTCGCGGTCAATGTAGACAGACGGCAAGATTTTGAGCAAAAGCAATTGCTTTTGCGCAAAATCTTGCCAGTCTAGACGCACCCCGATGTATAAAATACAAGCATTTAAAATCATTTACAGAATATTTAGCTAACCCTGTGAATACAGAGCATGAAGCACAGAGACACTTAACCCACTTATTTTTGGGCCATGCCAATAAGCGGATACCCCAGAACCACTCTCATATTGAAGGCTTAGAGTTCCTGTTCAAAGAGCAGCTCTTTATGGAGTCGTCATTCTACTTGGCATGGAGTACCTTAATTTTATCGGACAAAATGGTGTATCACTGTTACTCCATATTTTAGTGATCCACATAAGGTGTCATTTGGAAGACACACAGTTATTATGGATATTCATTTGCTTATTTTCCCTCCACTTGCGCTAATTCGTAATATGGTATTTGTTCATCTGTGAAGGTTTTGAAGTTAGGATGGGATCAGGGCACCAAACTTTGATTTTAAAACTTTGAGCTGGTTGAACTGTGAAATGTGCTCTACAATGGCTCATTCTACTGACTAAAGATAAACTTTAATGAAGTAAAAATTAGACTAAGCCTCAGACCTGTTATAATTAGCCTCAGTATAACCTTGTGAACAGGAATCTAGGCAATGAAGGGCGTACCTTACCCGTCCTAAATCTACATATGCTTAATGTGTGTGTTTTATTGACTCACACTCATTGTCAATACATTTATTGTCAGCACATGAGCCTAGTGATCTCTCCTTCCAGCTTTTGATATTTTGCCTGATGTAATAGCCATCATCATGCTGTTTCCTTGCACCCAAAAAACCCCCAGGGCCCAGTGCAGCAGATGTTCCCTACGTAGAACAGCTGAGAAAGCATAGGACGTTAAAAACATATGGTGAGTGCATGCCTTCATAATGACATTGCAGAGAAAAACTAAATCAGAGACCTCTGAAAGCTACAAACACTTTTTTTAAATTTGGCCTCCAGTAGGGTCCAATCCTTCATGGTGCGATGGATGTCCCAAGCCCAGTGGGAGTAGAGGTTGTTCTGCACCTGCAGGTATGGGCACCTTGGAACTTTTGGTGTGGGTTTGAAATTCTAGCAGATTTAGTGTGGGCTGCTCCACTTGTTTGTGTTATAACAACTCCACTTGGTAGGATTTTTTTTTCCACAGCACATATCTGGCTGGTATAGACACCATGACACTTTTCTTAGCTCTCCTACTACTGGGAGGAAAATCATAGGTGAAGGATGACTAGAGAGTGTTGATAGTTATGAATTGCCTGGTAAAAGCCATTGGCTGAATGCTGGTACTCTGCCACCTTGATTCACGATAACATCCCTGGCTGTATATTTAGGAGCCCAGAAGGGGAGATGACTCTGGAGCGTGCAGTGAGCATTTTGGATACCGAAAAGACGTCCTCATTACCCAGGATCCTTGCTGCCATTACCTTTATACAGCACGAGTGTTTCCAGAAAGCAGAAGCCAGAAAGAAAGTGAGTAACTGTTTTCATATCCATTAACAGAGCAAAGAATGCTCTGCATCTGCTGTACTGCGTTGTCTGCCATTTGAGAGATGGCACTTTAAGAAGCCTCATGCAAACACCATGTAACCGTCTAAGCCAGAGCCTGTGCTGCTGTAATTTGTTGAAGTCCCAATGGAGTGGCACCAGTTTACACCCGCAAAAAATCTGGCCCTCTATTTAGTATTTATAGGCAGCTGTGCTTACTATATAATTAATATATACTTTCTATTTCGCATCTCCTGTCTTCCTTATTGTTTTCAAAATTAGGGACAATTTTATTAAAATCATTGCTTGGTTAGAGAAGAGATAAGAGAGCCCGAGAAAATTCCTCAGTAGACAGGAAACAGGGTTCTTTCATTGTGCAAATGGAAATCAAAACCTGTTGTGGTGTTTGGACAGGATAATGTGAAACAATAGAATGATCTAAGAGTCTTTCTCATTTAAGTTGAGAAATCAGTTATCTGGATAGATAGCACGACAGTATCCGAGGGTTGGATATATATACATTTAAAAAAAAAAAACCTGCAAAATTCAAACCTAGATTTGTACTTTTTTAGGGTTTAGGTCGTGTATGTGTTGGCTTGAGGTCTACTTACCTGGAAGATGGGTCTAACAAATCTTTATTAAGGCAAAACCTTCAGCAAGGAATTGTAGAAAGAATTGTACTGGATTATCTCAAATGTTGATAGTGTAGAAAAGCCTAGATTTGGGAAGGTGGTCTTTCATTTTTTTAATGGAATGAAAGTCTGAAAAACTACAAAATGTTGTGAAGCTCATTTTACTTCTAAATAACCTAAGTTCATACACCCCTCCATTCCTGTTACTACACAGCATACTGTCTTGTGAATTGCGTTGCTAGGTGTCTAGTATTCACTCGGACAGTCCGGTATTTTCGCCTCCTGTTTGGTAAAAAAAATTCAGGAAAATACTGGACACCTAAGGTATCCAGTATTTTCTGATTGTTTTCCCTGGCCAGGAGGCAAAAATGCCAGGCTTCTGGCAATCCTACAAACACTCAGCGCCCGGGCTCCCCCGACTCCCGAGGCCTCCCTCCAGCTTGCAACACCCCCCAGACGCTATTCTTACCTAGTTCTGCAAGGCTGCCGGTACAAAATGGCTGCCGGCAAAAAGACCTAGGGGAAGAAATGCTCAACCTCTCCCCATTCCTATCCCTGCACTCACTCTTAAAGGGGACATGCTGTTTTAATGCTGTTTTAATGTTGGCTTTTTTGGCGGGGAGGGGGGTTAATAAGTCTTAGAGTGCCCCCGCCCCTTTTTTTTTATTTGCTCAACAACTTTGGTCTCTTCCCCCTTTTTTTCCCTTCAACAGAATTTTTTCCCAGTGGTTTTTGTTTTGGGAGGAGGGGGGTGTTCGGTATTTTTTGTTTCAATCATCTGGCAACCCTACTTGTGAAGTCCTTCTGTAGACTGACTACTGAGTTTACCTGTTTTGTATAAGTGTTTGTATAAGTGTTTAATCACTCTTACTAGACTTGTAACCATGGGAATAGCAAATAGATAAATGACACAGATTTTTTTTTAATTTGAAAGAACCCTGTTAAGTTATTTTACATAAGGGTTGAATTAAATAGAAAACTGTTAAATAAAAAAACGTTAGCCCCTGTTATCTCTGTGGATTGTGAAACCACTTGTGTGTCTTAGTAAAAATGCTGATCGTGGTAAATGACTGAATGTTCCCCTAATATATTCTTCTGTCCTTGGATCAACAGCTTTATCAGCAAATTACTGCCTCACAGTTGGGGGTGGCGGGCGGGGGGAGTATGCTCTATGCATACCATTCCTCATAGTTCATGTTCTATCATATCTGAAACCCAGCTACTGAGTGATTGATGTGATCAGTTTTCATTGCATGTTGGGTGTTATGTAATGCTTTATTTGTTACTGTGCTCTTATGTAATTATGGCCTTGTCTGTAGCAACTCTGTAGGTAAGGCTGAGTTAAGTTTTGTACGTAAAGCAGAGAATCAACTTCTTTGTTATTTATATAAGAGAAACACAGTGTATGCTCCCCAAAATTACTGGCACTTACTCTTTTCATGCAAAATAAATGTTCTGAGAATTTACAAGTAAATCTGTTAATTTGTTAGGATTTAAAACAAATAAAAATGGATCCTTTTTAAAAAAGTTACTATCTAGTATCACACTTATTTTTCCATCTCTCTCTCTCAAAAAAAATACCCCTCAGCAACAGAATAACCGAGACACTACAAATGTCCCATTAAGTTAAAACTCACTGAAGTCTTGAGGCATTTGGGGATGGATGGATGATAAGGATTTATGGTAATTTTTCCCCATTATTCTTTATTACGGAAAGTTTTCCCCTGCCACAGAGACTGAGAGATTGAAATGGTCTGCTACTAAGAATACCACAAAGAACCTCCCATGGGTGACATCCCAGCTGGGGAAGGCAAGCTTCAACCCCACCCTTTCTGCTATGATATGACAATAATGCAAGAGTGATGCAGTAACATTTAATTCTTATTAGTGTTTGTGGATGCTGCTTCAATTAAATGATTTCTGAAGACACATTTGACTTTTCCTCTCTTATAGTGTCAATAGCAGACATAGTTAAGGTTGATTGGGTGCCGTAAACTGCAGTACCATATTAAACAGATTTGGATTTCCTTTGTTTAATCCCTACATGTGAATTTCCTTCAAGTCTTTGGTTTTGAGATAATTACACCTTTGTAATGTGGACTACTCTAAGTTACTGATATTTACTTCTAACCTTCACTCCATTTTAATGAAGCTGTTTTTTCTTGGAACACGTTCTGTTGCTATGTATACTAATCTTAAGTATGGATGGATCATTATTTGTTTGTTTCATTAAAAGCCAGATGTTGAAGGGATTATATGGTTTACTGTGGTTACATGCTACAGAGCATTTTCCTGCTTAGGTCCCAGCTCAAATACACTTAGGCTTCTGTTTTTCTGAGTTTGTTTATTCCATTTTCTGGGTTTATTTTTAGTAGCTTGAGTTTTATGTAGATGTGAAAAAAAATCAGCATTTTTCCAGGCTATGGATTTTAGTGTTTAACTGATACATACTGATAAAATGTCCTTGATTTAAAAAAAAAATCAGTATGCATCCAATAAACACTGGAAAAAATCACCAGAAATGCTTACTTGGATCTAAGGGTACATCCACTAGGGCAGAGAATGGGGGTGCAGAGGATTAGGCTTTGAGCTAGGGCAAGAGGGGACTATGATCTGGGCAGGGGATTGGAGTGCCAAATCTGGGAGGGGGCATGAGTACAGGAGGGTGCAGAGGATTTGGGTATGTGCAGTGGTGGGGCAGGAGTGGGGGGCAGAGGGTTGTTGAAGTGAGGGCCTGGGATGCCAGAGGCAGCCTCAGGCCATGAGACTTACCAGCCAGCAGCCCTTTCCTGAATCAGCCTCCCTGCCTGCCCATTCCCTGCACAGGCTACAGCCATGTGCTCTGTGAATAATTATGAGCCCCTTGTGCTTCATGGCTGCTTGTTATTGGCCAAAAGCCGGTCAATGGGATTATGCTGGGGGTGGAAGCAGCTCCTAAAGCATTCCCTCTCCCATCCAGGCTCAGTTTTTAAAGTGAAACCGCCTTGCAGCCATTTTTCTGAGTGGTATGCAGGTGGGGCGAGGCAAGCGGGGAGCATACCTAGGGCTCCCCACAGTATCCGGGGGCTGGATACAGTGTAGGGATGTAAGCAACTAGTCATCTATATGATAAGCATAAGCTTATCAGATAGTCAACTAATGATGCAACTAGTTGCTTCCCCCCATTGCTGCTTCTATCAGAGAGGCAGCAAGGCGGGGGAGCAGGAGACAGTGCTAGAGGGAGCCAGCTTAAAAGTGGTTCCCCCCAGCACCGTCTCTGTGGGGGGCAGGGAAGGTAGAGGCCTGGACAGTCTGGTATTTGTGGCTTCTGTCTGGTAAAAAACCCAGAAAATACGTACTCAGATGGAAGGCTGCTTGGGACATTCTTCCCCAGCTGCGTGTGGTGGGGGCATGGGAAACGTGGGGATTTAAAGGTGCAGTGGCTCTTTTTTTGTGGGGGGGGGGTTTGTTTTTGTTTTTGGGTTTTTTTGCTCAACAACTTTGGTCCCCAAAGGTTTTTTCCCCCACCATGTTCAGCAGTCTCCGCTTTTGCCAGTTTTCCTGCGATTGTGCATTTGAAATGTACAAGAGCCCCTCTGGGGCTCTTCTACATTTCAGAGGCTCAGGCATGGTAGGAAGCATGGGGCCTGTCTCCTGCTGGGCCTGCATTCCCTGCAGGGCTTCTGCTTTTGAACTGTAGCAAGAGTCCGGCAGGGCACTTGCTACGGTTCAAAGGCAGAGGTGCCTTTATCAACTACTCGAATAGCTGATGGAAATCCCATCAACTATTTGATTAGTTCATCTAAATTTAACATCCCTAATCCGGTGGCTTGGTGGGCCGGATTCCACCCTTGGGCCATATTTTGCCCAGGCCTGTTTAAGAGCATGGCCTTCTGTTCAGTGGGTTTAAATAAGCCAGTGGCTTTCATGGACTCTGCCCAGTAAATGAGTAGCAAATAGGCTAGTAGCCTTCATGAGCTCTGGAGTCACCGAAAATGTAAAAAAGAAAAGCCTATAAAAATACAGAGTACATGGCCAGGTCAGGAAGATAACAGGAGGCTTTGTTGGATTTTGTTTCTTCATGTTCTCGGTACCTGCCAGTTTGATGAAATTCTTTTTATCATGTGGCTCCATACTACCCATAGTAGTTGTATCAGTTTTCTAAGTCTTGTATATACAATCCTTGCTACTCAAGGATGAGTTTCTCCTGAAGACCTTGTTACATTATGGGATGCTAGATTAAACCATTCCTAATTGTGCTCAATTGTAAGACCCACTTAATAAGGAACTTGTTCCTAAAGAAGCCAAAGCTCATGTACACCACATTGTGGGATAATTGAGATACAGGCAGTCCCCGACTTACGCGGATCCGACTTATGTCGGATCCGCACTTACGAACGGGGGTTTCTCGCCCCGGAGGTTGGGGCGAGAAAGCCCCGTTCGTAAGCTGCTCCGGTGCCCCTGGTCTGCTGGAGACCGTCTCCAGCAGACCAGGGGCACCGGGCGGGTTCCCGCTGCTTTGGTTGGGGGGAAGAGGAGAGGCAGGGAGAGGACAGCGCAAGAGAGGGAAGAGTAGAGCAGAGGTGAAGAGGAATGGTCCTGACCCTTCCCTGTGTTGGGGGAGGAGTTGCATGGCTGGTGGTCCCCCAGATGGCCTCTGACCATTCCCCTGTGGTAGAACCGCATGTGAGCACATGACCAGAGCTTCTCTGAGCTGCCATTTCCCCAGCCAGAGGGAGTAGGGGATGACATCAGAATGAAGAACCACTTCCTCTCCCCTGCTAGGCAGAGCCCGTGGGCCCGATGCAGCCTGTAACTTGCATTGATCCAGCCTGTTACGCTTGGGATTCCGGACTCCATAGCAGGACAAGCCAGCTCTGGCTTGCTCTGTTGTGGGAAGAGAGAGCCCAAGCCTCGTGGGCCGGATCAAGACATGCCGCATGCTGGGCCATAGGTCCCCATCCCTTTAACTAGATACAAATTTAATCACTAGCAGAACTTAAAATTATCGATAAGGTGAACTGATTTCGAAAGAACATGGTTTTCAAAGAAGAATAAATAAATTAAAACTAAATAAATATTTAGCTACCAGATTGCAGAAAATATCTCAAAAGTAAGTGACATGTTATTGCATATACAGGCAGTCCCCGACTTACGCGGATCCGACTTACGTCGGATCCGCACTTACGAACGGGGCTTTCTCGCTGCTCCGGTGCCAGCAGAGTTGCTCTGCCCCGGGCTTCCTGGAATCAGCTGCTGATCAGTTTCAGCAGCAGCTGACTTGGGGACGCCTGGGGTTCTTAAGTTGATTCTGTATGTAAGTCAGAACTGGCGGTCAGTTTCAGCAGTGTCTGAATCTGGACGCCAGTTCCGACTTACATACAGATTCAACTTAAGAACAAACCTACAGTCCCTATCTTGTACGTAACCCGGGGACTGCCTGTACTGAGCTTTGCCACAGCATATAAACACTGAAAAATACTTTATTTCCATAGCACTGCTGTGATATAAAATGTTTTTTGTTTTGCATTGTTTTTGGGTCAGATCTTCAGTGTCTGGTCTTCTAAAAAGAAATTGAAGAGCGCTCTCTTGTGCCGGTGATCAATGTCTTAAGAATAGTCAAGATTTATTGATTTAATTTATAATTGATTGTACTTCGGGGGGTTTGTTTTGCATTTTTATTAATTTGCTGTTTAGTGTGCTATTGCTAGGAAGTGCCTAGTAAGTAAAATGTGTTATTTATTATGTGTTCAGCCCATACAGCAGGAGACAGCGAAGAAAACTGCAACCTTTCTAGCAGGCTGTCTAGAATGAGAAAATAATAATTTTGAACTTCTGTAGCACTTACATCCTTGAAACTCAGAGCACTTCACAAATATTATGTCATTAAATCCAGTAACAACCCTGTGAGGTGCAGAATTATTTTCACCCCCATTTTATAGATCTAGAAGATAGGGCACAAAAAAGGTTAAATGATTTATGTGAAGTTGAACAAGATGGTGGCAAATTTGGGAACAGAATGCAGCTCTCTTTAATTCCCACCCCATGCACTGAACTATACTACTTTCCTTAGCTATGAATTATGACTGTGACTTACACAGAAGCCCCAAGATAAAGAGTTCCATAATAAAAGTTACAATTAGAACTGGGCAAACTATTTTGAGGGGAGAAGGGGAATAGCACATTTGAAAAATGCAATGTGGGAGTGACCAAAACCAATCAGGAGTCTGGGTTACATTTGGCGAATAAATTAGCTTAGAGACAAAATGAGAGAAAAAATTAAAAGCCAAAAACATTTCCAAAACAAAGGATACTGACATTTCTATTCTAAATTACCTATTTGGTTTGGAAATGTCATTTCATTAGACCCAAACAAAACAGTTTCATTTTTTCATTTCAATAGGAAAACCTGGAAAAAAAGTTCCATTCAAAAGGAACACTTTTTCCAGACTTCTATCCACCACTGAACCAATAAATAAGTTGTTCAACTCAGCAGTAGTTACAATCATGACTGATTCACTGCCCTAGCTATTAATGATCTGAGCTTTCAGTCATTCTGCCCACTATTAGACCTAAGCCTATGAATAACCTACAGAATCTATATTTGAGAAGGCTTTTTTTCCCCAGAATCTAAATGATGAAAATGCTTCTTTTGGGTTTCCTCCCCCAGGTTTATTTCCTTCGTGGCATTCCCAAGCTTCTACAGCTTGTAAAAACGCAGAATGGGGAAGTTCAGCGGCTGGCATGTGGAGCTTTGAGGAACTTGGTATATGAAGACAATGACAACAAACTAGAAGTGTGTGAGCAGCATGGGATCCCAGTCCTGCTCCATGTACTCAGACAAACCAAGGATGTGGAGACTAAGAAGCAGATAACTGGTAATTCTTGCAAAATATTTGCATGCAGATTTTCAGTGCTTTACATAGTGCACAGGCCTGTTGTAATATATGTGTTTGTTTATTTAGCAGCATGATTGATGAGTCAAATATAATCCAGAAAGGAACAAGGATTTAAAGAGGCATTGTCAATAGCTAACCCCTGAAGTTTCTATTCAAGGCCATTTTGTTCTCCTGAGGCAGTGGTCTCCAACCTTTTTGCACCCAAGATCACTTTCTAAATGACAGAACAAGCCAAGATCTACTACCCCGCCCCTTCCTCTCTATTCTTCTCCTCCTCCATCACTTGCTATCCCTAACCCTTACAGTGCTGCTTTGTTTTTTCAATTCTTCTGTAGGAGTAGGTTTTTCCAACATTTGGCCTGTCTAGACTGGACCAAATGTCAGAAAAACCCTTCTTTTGGAAGCCCCCTTATTCCTCGTGGAAAGAAGAATATAGGGGTTACCAAAAGAGCATGCTTGTTCTTCCACTAAAAAAAGCAGAAGAACAAACGCATCCCTGGATGCAGAAGAGTTTTTCCGGGATCTTTCTGGAATCCTGGAAAAACTCCTGCAGTCTAGCTGTACCCTCACTGGGTTGAGACAGGATGGTTGGGCTCTGGGGTAGGAATGAGGGATTTGGGTGTGGGAAGGGGTGAGAGGTGCAAGATCTGGGAGGAGATCTGGATGCAGGAGGAGGTGGAGAAGGGGACACTGGCTCGGGGAGGGGGCTCCAGGCTGGGGAGGGTTGGGGTCAGATGGAGGGTTAGGCTACTAAGCAAGCCACAGGCTTGTGGATGTGAGGGTGCAGGAATTTGGGTTGGGATATGTGAGGGGCTCAGGGCAGAGGGTTCCAGTATATGACAGGCTCAGATCTAGGGTCTGTGGGGTGCAGGAGTATTACCATAATTTAGCGAATGTAACCCGCGGGGTATATTCGGGTGCGTGATATATTCGCTAAATTACGATATAATGCTGTGGCCAGATGGGGGCTTGACCCCAATTGTGGGTTTGTTGGCCAGGCTTCATTTTTAAATAAAAGACTTTGTCAAATACAAAAAGTTTCTGCCTTCTCTTTATTTCTGAGATAGGCAGGGGATCTTTTTGAGTCAGGGGTCACTGACCCACAGAAAAGTCAGTTGGGGTCACATATGGGAGATGCAAGAAAAAAAAAACCTCCTCCAAAACCCCCCAAGCCTCCCTAATGTGGCCCCAACTGTGCTGGTGGGAGCAGGGGACGTGGTACTGGGAAAGGGTGTTAGTGGGTGCTGGGGCAGGGGACAGGGTGGCATTGGGGCAAGGGTCAGGATTCTGGGGTGAGGCAGGGGGCAGGGTTCTGCAGCAGGGGGCAAAGTGCCAGTGGGGGGGAGGGGACAGGGTTCTGCCACAGAGGACAGGGTGCCAGTGGGAGCAGGGAGTCCCCTGCACCCACCTCCTCCCAGGACTCCTCCCCCCTCTCCTCACACAGAGCAGGGAAGCCCCAGCGGGCACTTCCTCTGGGGCTGACTCCCCACTCACGCAGAGAAGGATGCACCTCGGCTGAACATCGTGGCCAGCTGGCCAGACAGCCCTCCTCTTTGCTCCAGCCCAGCTGCGCTGCATTCAGCCCCGGGAGGCTGCACCACGCTCCTGCTGATCAGGAAGCCCTTCCTCTTTGCTCCAGCACAGCTGGAGTGAGGGGCAGCCTCCCCGGGCTGAACACAGGGCATCCTCACACAGAGCAGGGAAGCCCCAGCGGGCACTTCCTCTGGGGCTGACTCCCCACTCACGCAGAGAAGGATGCACCTCGGCTGAACATCGTGGCCAGCTGGCCAGACAGCCCTCCTCTTTGCTCCAGCCCAGCTGCGCTGCATTCAGCCCCGGGAGGCTGCACCACGCTCCTGCTGATCAGGAAGCCCTTCCTCTTTGCTCCAGCACAGCTGGAGTGAGGGGCAGCCTCCCCGGGCTGAACACAGGGCAGCAGGGCTGGAGAAAAGAGAAGTGGCTGGCCGGCCCTGGCCCGGTGCACCACTCTCCATGCAGGCTGGCACAGAGGGGAAGCTGCCTGGCCAGCTGGTTGTGGCGTACGCTACAAGCCTTTCTTTCAAAATAATGTCGAGCTGAAAGACTTCTTACTCCAACTCGTGGTAACCCTCTTTTCACAACAAGTAAGGAAGAGTGTTCTTCATTCAATTTCCTGCTTTGTAGACAGAGCCAGCAGTTGAGTTAAGCTATTTCGACTTCAGCTATGCAATTGACATAGCTGAAGCTGCGTAGCTTAATTTGAGTTTAGCCCTGCTGTTATGACCAATGGTATGATTCAGTTTTTTCTCAGTCCTTCCTCAAGTTATATTCCCATTCATTTCAATATGAGTTTGCCTAAATGAGAACTGTCTTTAGAATGAGTGAGGACAATTTGTTAGAGACAAGGTTTTGTTTGTTTTATCAGAAACACTGCTATAAGGTAGGAGGGGTACAATCTAGTGATTCATCTGTGACAGTATTTGTCACCATTTGACACAGAGAAAAAGATCACTCTGAGGACACTGTCTGGTGGCTCTGTGGGGGCCAGTCAATGGACAAACGCTCTCCCCGATACTTCTCTGTAGCAGCAGTGTACAAATTAGAACAGTGGTCTCCAACCTTTTTCAGCATGAGATCACTTTTTGAATTTAAGTGCAATCCAGGATCCACCTCAAACCCAAACACCCTTGCCCTACCACCTTCCCGCCCCTGCTCACTCCATCCTTCCCCCCCTCACCCTCCCATCCTCACGCACTTTTATTAGGCTGGGCCCAGAGGGCTGGAGTGCAGGGGAGGGGGGTGCAGACTCTGATCTTGGGCTAAAGGATTTGGAGTGTGGCAGGGATTCTGAGCTGAGCCTGGGGCAGGGAGTTGAGGTGCAGGAAGGGGTTCAGGGTGCTGGCTCCGGGCAGGAGTTTGGGTGCAGGAGGACTCGGGGCCAGGGCAGTGGTTTGGGGTGCAGGAGGGGTTCAGGATTGGGGCCAGGGTTTGGAATGCAGGCTCCAGCTGGGCACTGCTTACCACAGGTGACTGCTGGGTGGTGGTGCAGGGGGCTAGGTCAGGCTCACCCCTACTCTGGCCCTGCACTACTCCCAAAAGCAGACAGCAGACTCTCTCCATCCCTGTCCCCTCTCCCCTCCTTCCGGCTGCCTCCCCTCCCCCGCTCTGTGGAAATGGGGTACAGGGTGGAGAGAGGAGCACCCTGACATCAGCAACCCTTCCTCTTCTTCCTGTGCCCCACACAGCAAGCAAGAGGTTCCTGGGACTAGTGGGGGGGGCAGCTCCAAGGCAGAGGGCAGGAGCAGCTGGCAGTGCTAAGAGGGGCAGATGAAGTGCCTGCACTTAACAGCCTCCTCGCCAAACCTGTGAAAGGCTCCAAAATCTATTAGTAGATCCCAATGACCACTGAATTAGAAAACAAGCCAGCAGCGAGCCATGTTAATGTTTAAAGCACAAAAGAAAAACATGTCTGTTTTGCAAATGGAGAAAGACAAAATGGGGAAATGGAAGGGATTTTATAAGATTTTTTTTTTTTTTTACTCTCGAACAAGAAGCGAGTAAAATATTGAATTTAGAAACTATTAAAATAACAGCATTGAAGTCTTTTGAAGTGTTTGAAATGTTGTGCTGAAAATATATCTTCGTGTTATCACCTGTCTTGGCTCGAGTCTGCAGCCACTGCTTCAAATCCATGAGAGTTCCTTTTATATAGCAACTGGAAAATCAGGTCCCTTGTGTCCTTTCAGATGCAGCATGTGTGTAGTGGTGAATTTACACTGAGAACGTTCAATCCAAGGGTGAAAAGGCATGTTGGTAAAAATGCCTGAGCCGTGTGGATACTCCTAGTTCCATCACTCCTGCTGTCAACGGAGCAGCACTAGCACTAGGGCAAAGGCAAGAGAAGGAGTAGTGTGGTGCAAGATATTTGTAACTATTACTGTGTTTTAACTTAACCGATATAAAATTCAGATCCAGCAATTTTGCAATTGCACCAAGGGTGAAAAGGCATGTTGGTAAAAATGCCTGAGCCGTGTGGATACTCCTAGTTCCATCACTCCTGCTGTCAACGGAGCAGCACTAGCACTAGGGCAAAGGCAAGAGAAGGAGTAGTGTGGTGCAAGATATTTGTAACTATTACTGTGTTTTAACTTAACCGATATAAAATTCAGATCCAGCAATTTTGCAATTGCACCTGTCACTGAACATAAATACTTATATTAATGACTTGGAGAATAGCTGCCTGCAAAGTACTTCAGTACTAATACACAGTGTGTTGCAGATTGTATAAATCAGGAGGTTCTTCAAGGCTTTCAACTCCCACAGGTTGCAAGGGGTGAGGGCTGATCTTTTAAAAGCAAAATGAAAATTGCAACATTGATCCTTAATTTTAATGGGCAGTGTAGCTTCCTCCTATTTTTGTATACACTAACCCTCCTTGGAACTGATCAGTGTCCCAGCTTGAGAAATATGATTGAAGATTACAAAAACTGTAGAGTTTCATTGAGTAGGTCATGTTTCCAGTTTAAGAGACTCAGGGTATGTCTACACTACCCTCCTAGTTCGAACTAGCGGGGTAATGTAGGCATACCGCACTTGCAAATGAAGCCCAGGATTTGAATTTCCCGGGCTTCATTTGCATAAGCGGGGAGCCGCCATTTTTAAAACCCCGCTGGTTCGAACCCCATGCAGCGCGGCTACACGGGGCTCAAACTAGGTAGTTCGAACTAGGATTCCTATTCCAAACTACCGGTACACCTTGTGGAACTACCTAGTAATAGGAATCCTAGTTCAAACTACCTAGTTCGAGCCCCGTGTAGCCGCGCTGCACAGAGTTCGAACCAGCGGGGTTTTAAAAATGGCGGCTCCCCATTTATGCAAATGAAGCCCGGGAAATTCAAATCCCGGGCTTGATTTGCAAGTGCGGTATGCATACATTACCCCGCTAGTTCAAACTAGTGGGGTAGTGTAGACATACCCTCATTCTCTAGTCTTATTACTTC